CATTGCCTAAAAAAAACGGCCTCTTTCAGGTCCGCGATTCTTCTGGCATAAGAAAACACCGTGCCAAGCGCCGAATAGAGCCACAGGTTCCTTCTAGCCCGCACTTCCCTCCCTCCCTCCCTCCTCCCCTCTCTCCCTCTCTCCCTCTCTCTCGCGACAGCCTGGGGATCTTGCAGCCCATGCGGAGCCTGGGATTGAAATGGCCCAACCGAGTACTTCACGGCAAGCCAACCAAGGGAAACAAGTATCTAACTCTGGGCTTTACCAATGGCTCTTACGCATTGTGGTGACAAACACTGGTGTAAATCCGCCGACCCCATGCCTGGTCCAGAATGGACCATGCTTTCGGCATGGGGGCGGTGTGTTCTGTGTTGCTTTTGTTGATATGCTTTCTATAAGTTTAATGTGATTATGATTATGTAGATATATATAAATATATATATATATAACCTATATGTCCCTTGGGGCGGCCCTTGGGGCTGGTTTCTACGTCGGCTGGATTTCTGGATTTCTGGATTTCTGGATTTCTGGATCTCTGGATCTCTGGATTTCTGGATCTCTGGATTTCTGGAATTCTGGATTTCCCCCCCTCCCCCCCCCCCCCCCTCCCCGAAGTCTTCCGTAGTCTTCCGGCTTCTCCCAGTAATCTTCCGTAATCTTTCGGCTTCTTCGTAGTCTTCCGAAATCTTTCAAGCTTCTTCCCGTAAGTTTCCGCAATCTTTCGGCTTCTTCCCGTGGTCTTCCGTAATCTTCCGGCTTCTTCTCCTAGTCTTCCGATACTGTTTCGGGACCAACAACGCGCGTGTCCTGTGCTTTCGGGCTTCTTCCCTAGGCTTCGGGTAGTCTTCCCTCACCCCTCCGCCCCCCCCTGTGTCTGTCTATGTCTGTCTACGTATCTGCATCTGTCTTCGTGTCCGCGAAGACCCCCCCTGCCCCTGCGTGTCTGTCTGTGTCTCTTTGTGTCTGTCTGGGTCTGTCTGCGTCTGTCTTCGTGTCCGCGAAGACCCCTTGCGTGTCTGTCTCTGTCTCTTTGTGTCTGTCTGTGTCTGTCTGTGTCTGTCTACGTATCTGCGTCTTTCTTCGTGTCCCCCCCCCCCCCCCTGCGTGTCTGTCTGTGTATTTGTGTCTGTCTGGCTCTGTCTGCGTCTGCCTGCGCATCTGCGTCTGTCTTCGTGTCCGCGAAGACCCCCCCTGCCCCTGCGTGTCTGTCTGTGTCTCTTTGTGTCTGTCTGGGTCTGTCTGCGTCTGTCTTCGTGTGTCGTGTCTCTCTGTCTCTTTGTGTCTGTCTGTGTCTGTCTGTGTCTGTCTACGTATCTGCGTCTTTCTTCGTGTCCCCCCCCCCCGCGTGTCTGTCTGTGTATTTGTGTCTGTCTGGCTCTGTCTGCGTCTGCCTGCGCATCTGCGTCTGTCTTCGTGTCCGCGAAGACCCTCCCCCCCCGCTGCGTGTCTGTCTGCGTGTCTTTGTGTCCGTCTGTGTCTGTCTACATATCGCGTGCTTTCTCTCGTCCCGGGCCGAAATTCTAAGGTGTGTGGGGGCGGCGGAACCAGGCCGCAGGCCATTAAATAAATTGAGGCGGCTGTATCCTACCCGACCTCCAATATGGGCTGTCCCCCCACATCGTCTCCAAATCCACACTATGTAGACCGCGAATGATTCTGTCGGTTGACTATGGGTTTGTGGTTTCTTAAGGCTCGGTACAGCAGGAAACCGAAAGGATAGAATTTCATCTGTCCCGACTGGTGCAAAGTGGATTTGTTCCGTCAGTACTACCAAAAACCAATTTGTGACTACCAACCACAGAAATCCAACCTGCAAAAGCCGTGAGGTCTTACCTAAAACCGATACGGTCGTATTGTTCATGGTCACACGCAAAAGCTTTGGGCTTCGGTTCATCATCGGTACTTCTCGAAATGGTGGACCTCATTTGGGTTGATGTTAAAACAAAACCAAAAGGAAACCAACCCCTTTAGGGATTCCCTGTTTGAGAAACCTTCTTTTGGGGTTGTCCCGCGAGGTATCGATTTTTGAAACGAAACGCCAAAGGTGACCCACCTTTCAAAGAGCCTTCAAAGGGAATCCAGAAGGAAGCCGTTGCCGTTTTGGGGGACCTCCAATGTTGGGACAAACCTCGGGCACGGTCCTTCCATCATTTTAGCTGACTTGTTTTCAAGGAATCTGGGAACGGACCTCCCAACCCTTCCCGTCAAAGAACCCAATAGTGGCTGAGATCCTTCACAAATTCCCCTTAAGCCGCCTGGAACAAATATATATCCAGTAGCGATAGATTCGCTTCAAAACAAGGGAAAATGACAAGCACAGCTCTCAAGCAAATGGACGCCAGCTCGTCGAGGGCCAAAGGCTTAGACTCGCGGCCTTTCGCCAACTCAAGTGAGTCTATGATCAGTTGAGGAACTCTGCAAAATATCTACGGGTACAGGGTGACAGTAGATGGTGCAACTCCCTTTTTGCGGGTAAGTGAAGGGAATTGGGGCCTGGGGGGAATTGCGGCATATACGTTTGCCCAACTGCAACGATGTGGGATGTCAGCTTGGGTCGATGTCCTTGTCCTGCCTTTGTACCCTTTTTGCGTGGGTTGCTTGGGCAGGAAAAAAGGAGTCCTTTGGAGGTCCAGGTCTGGAAATTTCGACAAGTGCTGCTGCCGACAAACGGCGGTGGGCTGGATGTTGCCGGCTTCTGTACCGGGATCACTTTTCCCTTTTGCGGACGGCTTGAAAGAAATACCCATAGATATGTCGGCCCCGGATCAAGCAGCTTGGTGGATTCTTGGGGAGGCGTTCTTTCAAGAAGTGAAGGTTCCCTCCAAAAATGGAACACCCACCTATCAACCAGGGCGCATCAATATTGGGCTCCCATTAGGCCCATTTGAAGGAGTCCCCAAGAAGCCAAACCGTGCCGGCTCCGCATAGGGGGCGTAGCCCATCGGACTCTACATGAGGAAGCGCGGCTGGAGCGGTCTCACCAGAAGCAGAGCAAAGTTGAGTTGATGTTGAAATTCCGCAGTACTGGCAGTGGTTGCATCGCTATGGGAAATTACCTGTTCTGTGCTAAATTGCCAAATTGGGCCAACCCTGCGCCTACTTTGTCACCTCAAAGGAGATGGTCTTAGCATCACAGAAAGTGGCCCAAAAGCAAACGTTCCACAACTATTGGTGGTTGAAGAGGGAAGCCAAAGGGAAACCTAACATTTGATGTTTCCCATGGAGACGCCTCAACTTGGCGACATGCCACACTTCCCGGGAGTCTCTCAGGCCCTCTGCGAGTTGTCTGGTCCGTGGCTGGGGTTCAAGTTCAAGCAAACGAAAACCGCCAACACCTGGCATGCCAACACCTTTTTCGGGTTGATTGCCCATTGCCTTCACCCAAGCTTCTGTCCAAAGCCATTTCTCCAGGATGTTGGGCAATTATCCAAAGAGGATTCTTGAACAGAATGGGGGCGAGTTGGAACCACAGTCTTTGCAACCCCAACAAGGTCGAAAGAAGAACGCAGTAGTCTAAACTCGTGCTAAGAACAGTGAAGCTTGAGGCAAGTATTAAAGGCCCTTTTCCTCTCGAGCCAAGCGCGGACATATCGAGTCAACCCACCTCTCAGGCTCCCATATGGCTCCGTTTGAGCCGGTCCCCGTTCCCCGAGTTTGAGAGCCCGTATTTCCCCTTGGAACCTCACCCCACCAAAAAAAAACGTGGACCGCAAGGTGATGATGAAAAACACCTTTTGGACGATTGGAGCGCAATATAGGGAGCCATCTCCAAATAAAGAAGGGCCCCCATGGTGTTGCCCAATGCTCAGACGGACCCTCCCAAATTTCCGAACCCGCTTAGGGACACTCAAATAGCTCTAGTCGTGAGCTTTTGGCAAGGGTAGTCGTTGATTTCAAAACGAAACCACCGAGGACGGCGGCTCCCGTTGCTGGAACTCTTGAAGGAAAGGAGGCACGTTTGTATGCCGACTAATGATGGGTTCCTCGCAAAAAGCGTGGCGCCCCCTGAATTGGTGAGTGTGCCTTTTCAGCTTGTTCTTGCCTTTTTATAATAATTATCGAACCTGAAACCAGAAAACATCATGCGAGGGACCTTCATGTCGCCCTCACCAAGCTGCCCACAAATTCGGGAAGTCCTCGGCGGAACCAGCCCCCCAGACAGGGCACACCTTCCCGGCTCAGGCTTTTCAGTGTTCCCCCAGCAAACCTTCACGCGCGAAATGGAACAAAGGGAAATGCTCGGGTCCCCCAAAAGGGAGATGCCTTGAACAAACAACGGCTTCCCGATGCATTTTCTGCCGAGTCCAGGAAAAGCCCAGTGGAGGCCGCAAGCCTTTGGAATCCGCCGCGGGCTTAGGATTTTTGGCTCCCAGTTGCAACCAGTGAGCCCTTCGGTCGAAAACGAATTGAAACCCTTTTTGGTTGTTTTATCTTCAACGGCAGCGGAAAGCTTTGGGGCCTCTGCCCAAGGCTCCACAAGGTTCCGGAAGGGTGCAAAGGAGTCTCGGTTGCTGTTGGGGATACCACCTCGCATGAACCTTTCGTAGGGGAATCCACCAAGCAGAAAGGGACAAATTTCCTTCACCCGCTCATGTGCGATCCGGACCAAAAGCCAGCCGCTTTTTCTCAACTCGCAGGTCTCTTGCCAGGCGCTCTTGGCCCCGTTGGCCCCGGCATCCCCGGCATCCGCGCCAGCGCGGGCGCGGGCGAGTAGCCAACACAGTGGCCTCTTCAGAAACACCAAAGCCTGTAAGAAATGGGTATGGGTCAAAATTAAACCACCAGGGAACCGCAGGTTTGGTCCATGTTTCCACTTACCAGGGTTGAATTTGGGGTACTGAGTTTTGACCCACAGCCAAATAACCTACCGGGTTGCTCATCGCAGCTGAGCAAAAGGTCGTTAGCCCTTTATAGAGGTTTAATGGACAAGATGTTCGCTTCCCAAAAGGCCTAAGGGGCGACTTGTTGTTATCAAAGTCCTGCCCATGTGTTTGTTCGTTCTTGCTTTCGTGGGGTAGTCGGTCTGACAAGGACCTCGACTTCCAAAACTCCTAAACCTACAGCCCCAGCGGGTTATCTGGGACCTCCTTGGCGGCCTCGTCGGCGCGCTTGCGCAGGTACTTGGAGACCTGCAGTGGACCAGTGCCATGAACAAAGGGACCCTATGTTCAGCGACCCTGCTCACAAAAGGGAAAATTATTGGGGAATTTGCTTTTTCTTGCTTATTATTTTTAGAGGGGAAACCGGTAAACAGCAAGGGGAAACGGGTGCCACCGAACAAGTGATGGTGCAGGGCACATCGCAAAGTGGGTGGCTTAAACTACATGGGTCAAACGAAAATAGAGGGGTGCTTTCGGATCCAGGACAGGAGTGGGAATCAATCGCTTCCCATAGATCTGGTCTTTGGAAGAAAGCAACCCACCGAAACCCAGGTTGTGTTCACTTCCAGGAAGCACAGTCGAAAAAGGTACCTCTACAGAACGCAAAAAGAGCAAGCCATCATGTGTCACCTAGATTTCAACAATCAAACCGCCATCGTATGGATCAACCAATCCATCCGGGGCCAGCAATTCTCAGAGGGTCAAACATCATGGGGGCCGGGGCAGCCGATGACCTCGAGGCAGCCAAGCCATGATCAGAGACAAGCAGGTCTGCAATGAAGTGGAACTGCTGGAAGCGTGTTGTAGTCTCCCACCGAATCTTGGATTCCACACGGGCAGGTATACCCCATGTCAATGTCAATGGGTAAAAAACAACTACTCGCTATCCACTGAGAAGGCCTTAAGCAAATCACCTTGGCACGGCATCATCAACAGAAACATTATGTGTCAGGAACGAACCACGACAAGAAACAACAGAGCAAAGACGGATGAGTGGATTGGGTACCAGTTTTAGGGCGGTTTAAAGTTTGAAGGGAAACCAAAAGAAACCACCTTTTTGGGGAGGCGGGGTCCCCATTTTGCGACAAACCCACAGGTCATCGTTTAGCCAATGCCCGTTGCTGAGGGCCCTAAGGGTCTCGACTGCTTTTTTTTCGATCTCGATGGAGGGGGGGTCTTCTTTGGAGGGGGCATGGGGGTGCCTCGGTGGTTCGTGATCCCTTGCTTAAAAGTGAGACCAACAACTGTGTTACTTGTGCTATGCCACCCACCACACGTGAGCAGCCAAAGAAACCACCGCATGGCTGAGAACACGCAAGGTGCGGTGGGCGTGTTCACAGCCTCGTGCCGCGCCTTTGCCCGGAGCTCTGCAAAGATGCTCAAGCCCAGCAGCTTTGTGCCTGGCTTCCAAGGGGGCAAGCGGTGGACAAAGCAATGGGCCTCTTTGGTGGTGCCTATCCCTTGCCCAGGATTCAAATATGCTCTCTGTTCCTCACTTTAGCCAAGGGCAAAGATGCAAGTTTGTGTCCTAGTGTGCATGGACAAAATCCACGTAGCACCAGTTGGGATGGATGAAGCCCTATGTTGTCCATCCCGAAAGATACGCAAGGGTCAAGGGTCAATATGCCTCACAGCCAAGCAGGGCCTTAAGGTGGGGGTTTGTGGGTGTGTGGTTGCCCTGGTATCATGGAAACACAGCTTTCAGGGGGGTTCCCTGCAGCTTGAAGTCTTGGCCCACACTTGCATTGAGTCACTTGCTTCAAGGGCCGATTAGTGTTGGGCAAGTGAGTTGAAGGAAACTCGCTTTGGACCACAAAAGGTGAAGACTTTCAAGCCAGTGCCAGGGAAACCTTGTCCCACTTTTTGGGCGGAGTGACCTCAAAATCAGCGCTACTGACCATCCCCCCTTCAAGAACCCCCCCGTGCCTCGCGGGCGGGCGAGCCGCCCGCGCGGCGGGCGCGGTGGGCACGGTGGGCCCGTTGGGCGCTGCGGGCGCGGTGGGCGCGGCGCTGCGGGCGCGGGGCGCGGTGCGCGCGATGGACGTTGTGGGTGCGGCAGGCGCGGCGGGCGCGGTGCGTGCGGGCACAGGGCGCGTCGAGCGCTGCAGGCGCGTCGCGCTGGCGCGGCGGGCGCGGCGAACGCGACAGCGCGCGGGCGGGCGGCGCGGCGCGCAGTGCGATGACCGCTGCGGCGCGTCGCGGATGTGGCGCGGCGGCGCGCAGCGCGCGGCGGGCGGGCGGGCACGGCGCGCGGGCGCGGCGGGTACGGTGGGCGCCGTGGGCGCGGTGGGCGCGGTGGGCGCGACGGGCGCGGTCCCATTTCCCTTGGGCTAGCGGTTTGGGGGGTGCTGAATCTTCGTGTTGCGTTTGGTCCTTTGCCATAAACTTTCAGTGGGATGTGTCACCAAACCCTCTCAACTTCTGAAAAGATTGTTAAAAGATCTAAGGGAAACCTCATTGGCCAAAAGGACATGTCATAGGTCTTCCTCTAAGCCCCAAAAACTCTCTTAACAGCCCGAAAAACTTGCTGGTGCGATAGGCAGGGAATGAGAAATGGAAGAACCCCGAGCAAGGCGGTTTCCTTTAAGGGAGTCCCCTTCCGGTTCATTCCCACCTTCCCTACCCATTCGCACCAACGGGGCCCCGAGGCTCCGCCTCGCTCGTTTGGATGGATGCCGTCGGCGAAGTAGCCAGGTCTCGACAGCTTCTCCCCTGGCAAAGAACGACACCCCAGGCACCCAGTGACGGGTGAAACCTTCATGAATACTGGGAAACATGGATAAATCATCTGAAGCAGACTTGTCCCATACACAGCAATACCGTATATCACAAAGGCTCTTGACAAGCTGCAAAAACTCAAGTCCTGCTTGCGTGTTGGGGCAGAGTGGGGTTGGCCTCCCACAAACTCACATGGAAGTGGGAGAAGGGGGTACGGGGCACGTACCAGTACACCAGATCACATCATGGTAGGTAGTCCTTTCGCTGGCTCTCTACCCTTTTTGGGTTGTTTTTGAAGGGAGACCAAACGAAAAGCACCCATTTCGTGAGCTCTGCTATGAGACAAACTCTTCTGTTGTCGCCTGTTTCAAGCTGCGGCATTGATCAACATTGATCAACATTGGTGTCATAGAATAGTGCTCCTACTTTCCCACTAGCCATGACAAATGGACATCCCGTTTTTGTTGGTTGAGGTGAAAGGAAAAATGCAGCCGACACGTCAAATGAATCAACTTGTAGCTGGAATTGCAGACAATACAGTTGATTCCTTTCAAAAGAACGCCTCATCTCTCGGGCCTCCCAGAAGTGCGAAGGTGTCCAGAACGCTGGCGCGCGCCTCGGGGGTGAGTGACATCTTTGCAGACCCCCACCTTACCTTGCAAAAGGTTCACGTTGTTCGGCCGCTTCTTGAAAACGGAGGAAGGGCGCTGGAAGTCTGGGCATGATTCGCCAACCTTTTCCAAGTCTCCCACTCATGTCTGCCATGCTCGGCATTCGCGGAGCATGCGAGCAACCAGTTGCCAACCTGCTAGCTCCGTGAGCCGCTGGGCGAAGCCACTCCTATGGCATCTTAGGACCGGCAGCAGCAGTTGCCTTGCACCAAGCTTACTGTTGCTACTAGCCCCCGAAGCGCAACACAAATGTAAGAGAAGCCAAGCAACGTTTAAAGCCTCACTTCAGCAAGACAGCAAGCCAGCAATTTGCAAGCCAGCCCTGATTCCCACTCAAACACAATCAACCGTGCATAAGGCAACCTGTACCAAAACCACAGCACGTTCCGTAGCCTTGCTCAAGTCTTGGGTCTGTTTTGACGAACAACCAAGCGGAAGCCACCAGCTCGATGGAGAAGCGATAGTGAGGGAAAGAAGGCTTCTGAGAACCATTAAGGGGGTGCCCTACTAAACCCTCTGATTGGCCCTGTTTGAACTGCACCTTCTGCAAATATTTGAGTAAGATGTCTGAAGAGCGAAGTATGGATCAGAGTTCCCCCAAGTTTGCATTTTAGCCACTTCAAATCTCGCACGTTGGTTAGCGACTTTCAGTGAGCTTTCTTCTTGGGTGCGGGCATGTGTGAAGGGGCAACATGAGACTCTGCTTCGCTGAGGAGCACGGCAAAGGGCAACGCGCTATGCCCGCGGAATGTTGACCCTTGAGTCACAATCCAGAAAATACAAACAGCAGGAGGCTTCTACGGGCCCTTTGAGAGGAAGATGTCTACCGAGACGACGCTTCGAAAACAGTCCCACGACACGGGTGTATCTTGTTTTGAGTTTGTGCCATTTGTCGTTGTTTCGAATTTCCCCGCATTTTTTCCAGAGGGAACCAAAAGGACATTTACTTTTCTTGGGCCCCCTCCTGAGAAACCCACTGGATCCAAGGGTTGATCAATCCGGGGCCATTGAGCTCCGGGATTCGAGCTGGTGAAACGCCCATGTCGAGTAAATGAGACATATGAACCTCGCTTGCCCTCCCCACAAAATCTGAGAGACGCGCCAGCAGCTCGGGAGGGACAGTGGTTCTGCCTCTTCTCGCCTGACAATGATCTCCGCCAAAGGCGAAAATGGCTGAAAAAGGTCCCAATTGAACCGTCGCATTTGTCTGCCGTTGTACCACTATTAGCAGTGTCCTTTGGAAAGAAATAAGACGCCCTTTGCGGGTGCAGGAGAAAAGAGCTGTGGGGAAATCCATTTTCAGCGATACACGTGGGAGGTTTTTAGAACAGCGAATTCTTCGCTCAAAAGGGTTGCCCAAAGGTGATTCCCTGTACAAAGCGGTTTGTCTCAAAATGGAGCGGGAAAAGTAGATGTCGCTGTCCCTTTCCAGAAAAGGTTTCCTCAAGCAAAGACACCCACACACACACACACATGGACCTTTTTGTGGAGGGTCCTTTCGCCAGCTTAGCGCCAAATCTGAATCATAGGATTTCAAAGCAACTTGGCTCGCAACCCAAGCCCCACTTTTGGCCTTTTGGGGATTTGTGGGGTGGCCAAACGACAAACTGGCCGAAACCCCAAGCAAACCACAAGGAAACTGCCAGGACACCAACTGCGCAAAGGAGCGGAGCCAAAGTGGGCGAGTGCAAAGGGTCGCTTGAAAAGGAAACGGCCCTCGAGTCTCCAGTGCCAGGTCCCACCTCCCTAAAGCGATAGAGGTCCCCTGGTTGGTCTGCTTCACTCCTATTTGCGGTATGATTCGTTTCAGGTGCCGAAAAAGAAAACCACACACATTGTCTAATCGCGTATGGTATGGTCGTTAAATCAAGGTTTTACTTAGTACATGTTTCATGGTTGCGTTGTATACTGTTCTTACAAATATAGCTTCAAGGTTGATTCTAAAGCATTGATCAAAGTGTGCAAGAGGATTTATATTGTGGTAACTTTTGCATGTTATGTTCTTGCGTGGTGTGGTATGTTTACTTCTAAACTACACAAGGGTTAAAAACTTATAAGCTTAGTTCTTAAGATTACCTAACATGTGTTAATCAAATATTGTGGGCCATACTGTCAGCTAGTATCACGGGCAAGTTGGTGAGCCCGATATCTTACAGGGATACAACCTAGTGAGTCATGGACCTTCAAGGTTGTTTTTAAGGGGTGCTATCCCTGGAATGGCCAAGGCCCCTTTTCACTTCCTCCCCTTGGAGGTCCGTGAGTTGGGTTCTTTCGGCCCATAACTCGAAATCTCCGCTTCCCGCCACCTTCCTGTACGGAGTGGGGATGTCCCCCCTCCAACAGTGATGCGGATGCCCCAAAATTGGGTCGTTCACACGCCTGCTCCTCCATGGGCGTGTTGATGACACCTTAGCTCCCAAAGCGCACGCAAAGGCAAATCAAGGAGGGTCCTTTCCAGGTGCAGTTGCAGATCTGGGATCCTCCAACCCCCTTAAGGCCTATCAGTATTGGCCCCCAACTTGGGGGGGTGCTCTGCAAAGTCCGTGTGCCGGTTCATAGGACCCAGGGGATCGAACCCACACGGTTCTCACGTCATAGCCAAGGGTTCCAAAGCCGTCCCGTCAGGTCGTACCCTAAAAATGATATGCCATATGCACCACCCTTTTAGCCCTGAAGACAATTTCCTCCGTTTTCGGGGGGGCACAACCTTACGGGTGCAGCTCTGGAAGCCTTGACACAGTCTCAGCAAGGCACACTAGCCGGCGCTGGTGATCGCATCCATAGTTGTGGAGAATCACCCTTTGTATCATTGGAGGCCCAATGGAAAATGCAAGACTGTCAAGAGGTCGAAAGCCCATGCAATTATCAGACAACCGCTCATGCATGCACATCTCTTGGCCATAGATGTGCCCTTCATCACCCCAATGAAAACTCCGTGTTTAGGGAGAGAGAGAGAGAGAGAGAGAGAGCTCTCCTTTGTCGGGGCGCTCTTTTCTGACAGCCCAATACTTTGTGCAAATTCCCCGGCCTGATGCCTGCGACACGCCACCCTGCCATATCAAGCCAATCACCCGAGAATGCACCCCTTGTTAATGACAAGGTGGCAACCCACCATTGCCATATCGTCACCAATCTCGCTGCCAGCAACAACATGACCACCACCATCATCATCCTCCTACTCCTCCTGCTCCTCCTCTTTAATCAATCCTACATCATCCTCAATCCTCAATCGAGTCTGGCCAAACCAAAGATGCATGTTCATCAATCATCTGCCTTCGTGATGGTCATCGTCCTCCTCATCGTCATCGTCATCGTCATCCTCATCGTCATTGTCATCGCCATCATCATCGCTATTACCATCATCACAATCGCCATCTCCATCACCACCACCACCGTCATCGTCGGCGTTGTCGCTTGGGCTTTTTGTTTTTGTGCAGCCCACTTCTGCTCCAAACCTCTCACGGTCGCTTTTGCCGGGGTTCCGGGCTTGCCGCAGCCTCCGCCACTCGCTGGATGGCGGAGGGGAGGTGGGTGTTCACCACATCCTGACGCCGGACTGGAGTGTACCTGGATCTTGACCCTGATCTGGAGGTACTCCAAAAATGTAATGTTCTGATGCTCTATATTTATGTAGTGTATCGCAAATAACAGTTTTGCAGGGGACCCCAAGGCTGTTCAACTTCAACCAACGTAGGTTACAGCATGGCAAGAAGACTAACCCCAGTTGCCCCACTCATGACCACGGATGTGACCTACTTGCCTGACGTTGCTTGAACATCCAAGTACCCACCTCAGCTTTACCCCCAAACAATATTCAGGCTTGCCTCCAAGAAGAACCCACAGAATGGGTGGCTTTCTTTAGTAAAGTAGGATTCTCCGAATAAAACACGGCCCTAAAAGGGTAGCCTCAAGAATAGAGCACCCATTTCATTCTCACCTCTACACATGGTGTTTTTTTGATGCCATGTTAATCTGTGGAGTAAGTGGCTTGAACATCCAGTTGCCCCGGTAAGTTTCAGGTAGCCCACAATTGGTGGCTTGGATTGGTGGTTTGGGGATTTGAACTCATGCTTCTAAAGGGTACAACTCCAAACCAACTCGGAAGCTGAAACCCAAAAGAGTGCCAATTCTTGTTTCCCATGGGCAAGCCCCATTATTTCACCACTATCAAAGTTACTCACTAAGTGGCAGGTTAAAGGGTACTTTGATAACCCCCGCAAACAGTCGAAATAATGCAAAAGTAGTAACACCAGTCAAAAGGGCTTGTTTGCATGAACTCGGGATATGGAGAGTGCGGCACACTGTGCTCAAAATCTGACTTTGATGCCGCCAAATGGACATCCGCGAATTTGACGTCTCATTGCCATCTCCTGCTGGATCTCCAAGTCGTTCTCGTAGGCTGGCGGCGGTAGCGCCAGCAGAATCTCCGGGCGGGGTTCCATGCCTCGGCGAGTGTTTGGTGGAGTCGGGTGTGGTGGGGTCAAAAGGGTCGAGTTGCGGGAACCTACAGGAAACCACCAGTTGGATAGTTGGATGGATTCTTTACGGGTCATTCCCTCGTTCTTCACAGTGATTCCCTTAAGGAAGAGTGGCCATGGCCCAAATCTGGAACAATGCGGGGCTCCAAAGATCACTGACTGGCGAATCAGAAGCTTGACCTGCCATGTAGCAACGCCAAAACGTTATTCCGAGTTGGAGCAAATCGCGTCAGAGAACTGCTCCAGCTACCGTCAAATCATAGTGTGGAGGATTCCCCGCTGCATCTAGAATCTAGAGCAAAAAAGTCGGCGATAACGCCCGGAGTGGATAGCCAACTGAACGCACCTGATGTCCATCTAAGTTTAGTCTTATGTAGGTACCAACTGATAGAAGGCGTTAGTAGACTTGATTCCGAAGAGATCATGGTTGACCTATTGCCACCGGTCTGGACAAGAAGCAAATCCTTCCGAACGGTGAACAAGGAACATAAGGGACAAACGATGCCATGCAAAGAATTAAAAGGGCGGAGTTCGCTTGTTTCTGCAAGGGGATTTCCCCGTACTACCCTTCAACTACCCGTACTGTGATTGTGGCTCAATTTGCACAAGAATCTGAGATGTTTCCCCACAAAGTGGGGATATTGACCCATCCCTAAACTCTGAAAAAGGAACATGAGTGTCTGGGTATCTGTAACAGAACTCCAAACGCACGTCACTCGGCGGGCGCACGCATTCGTCAGGCACCCCCGCGCTGCAGGAATTGTACGCAAAAGTCACGGTAGTCCTGGCGCTTGCTGGCAGTTTCGGTCTCCGTGGGACTGGACCAATTTCATTGTGGAAAATTTGGCTTCACGGCTATGTTCTGTGGTTTCAAGGGCATCCACCTTACAATGCCAAAGTTGTCACAACCCCAAAGGAAACCGTTTCTCTCTGCCTGTGACCTACCAACAAGCGGCACAAAGGCAGAAAAGAAGGGTCGATTGGAGATCCAGGAGGGTTCTGCAGCGCACAAACGGCCACTTCCACGAGTGTAGATCAACATACACGACGGAGCCTTTCTGCGGGGTGGTTTGCAAGGGCCCTTTTTTGCAGTATGAGGTCGACCCAGAAATTGGTGTTGCGCCAGTCCGTCTGTCTGACTTGGTGGTTCACAGATTTGAAGCCTCCAAAAGAAACCGTCCTCAATGAATCCAGAAACATCTGAGTCGTAATCAATCCCTGCAAGTAGAGGACTCTGCCCAAAGCCATATTCCTCCTCTTGTTTATGGCAACGGGACTTTCCCATGCTACCCTTTGTCTACCCGTGGTTTTTTTGCACCTGAGCTGGCAAAAGGATCCGAGTTGGGGTATCGACCCATAGCTTGGCCACTGTTTTGTTGTCTATGTTCATCACTTGGTTCCGAATGATCGAGTCCAACAAGGAACAGCTGGCTGCTTGGAAACCTCCAACTTGAAACCTCATTTGCTCGTCAGGGTCGATCCAAAAATCCCTGGCAGCCGGAGACCACATCACTATTCTACCAGCTCAGAGTAGGGCTGATTTCCCTAAAGCACATCCAAGCCCACTCCCCAAACTGGCCCCAGCTGTTTCAATAGGTTTCACCCCCCTCCTTGGCTCCCGCTCCCTAGGCTTCCTTCCAAAGAAGGCCCCAAGGCCGAAATTGCGTGGAGAAACAGGGCAAGGCGGGGGCTTCGGCCTGGACCCTATGAAAAGGAGCGGTAGCTTTTTCCAGATTGACAACTTGTCGTCAGCTGCACACTGTGCGCATCATTCTGCCGACCGCCCAAGTCAATCTTTGACTGACGGTGGATGGCCTTGAACCGAATCGAACCCATGGGCTGCGATGTCGACCTGCGAGAAAAACACGAAACTCAGAGCTGGGGAGCTGAGTGTTGCAACACGCGGTTCAAGCGCCGCGAGCTCGGCTCGGTGGGCGCCGTGCCGGGCAAGGCCGTAGAGCCTGTCAGCCCTGTGCGGTGCGGACCAGGTTTGGTTTTTTCCTTAGAACAAAGTCAAAGCAATCTGAGCAAAAATCACACTTCGCAGACTGAATATAAGGGAAATTTTGTGAAAGGAGCCATAGCAAGTAATGCACTGCTTCCTGCAACTTTGCAAGTTACACTATGCCTTACACTATTCCCCCAACCTCGCACCCCAGGAAGGGTTCGTAGCACCTTCATAGAATTTTGGAAGGAGGCACTCTCCAGTGAACAAGAAGTGTCCAGTCCAGGACGAATCGCTGAGTGGTTCACTGTGGCTATAAACCGCTATGGTTGTACGTCCTCGTTCAATGGGTTATACCTAGAGCTACTAACAGTTTAGTGATTCGTCCCGGATCATCCAAGTACTTGGGTGGTCAACCAACCTAGCAGCTAGGCTAGAGAAATGGTTCTAAGGAGACTAACCTCAGTTGCCCCAGCTTGTGGCTTCTGAATGGGTGGTATGGTTACCTACAAACCCAGGGCAATGGAATGACCGAAATTGATATTTCTCCTTAGTCTTATCCTTCCGCACCGTTCCAGTGGCATCTTTGCAGGCCATAGGCCGACCCTGGCAGAGGCGTTGAGCTGTACGGTGTCTTTCGAAACTTTCGGGGGGGTTGACAACCAGTCCACATACCCTAGGTTCACTTAGCAGTTTAGAGATTTCAACCAGGAGTTGGTTGGCTTCCGGAGGATTCTCTCTTGTCTCCGGGCACAAACGCCAGTATTGCCAGCTCACTTCTTCTTCTGGGCCTTTTTTCGAGCCCTCAGTCGGATGTGGACACAGGCCGATTGGAAAATGCCGAATGCAGTATGGATGTTTGTGTCTTGCTGTCCTGATGGCGGGTACAAATTGCGGTGTGCATTTTTTGTGTGTACCCCTTTGGGTTGTTGTCAAGGGAAACCAAGAAACCGCCGGTGGGTTCCCTTATCTTTCAGATGGAATCGTATGTTCCAACCAACACGACATTAGGTCTGTAAACCCCCCCCCCCCTTCATGCGAGATACAAGAACAACTAACCACAGTAAAGGGTCCATGCGCATTACAGTAGAAACCTGCGTAGCAAGGAAGATCCAGTCACATCACACGTTTCTTAGCGTTTGTTTTTGGAAACAGGAGGCCGAACTGGATTGACAACCACCCAACTGTGGAGACGAGTGAGTCCAAAGTCCGGGAAACTTGCTAGGGTGCAAAGAATGGTGGTTGCTGGGGGGCCCCGAAAAGAAGAGGCCTTCATTTCGACAGCGCCACCAAAGAAGCAAATACTTCCTTGGACAAGGAACCACCGGTTTAGGCTTTGATTTTGGCTCACCAGGGGTGAAGAAGGCAAAAGGGGGCCACTTGTCCCCACACCCAGCGGGTGCCTTTCTGCTTCCGAAGGATCCAACTCGTTTTGTCAATGCCACTTGCATGACTTGGGTATGTTTATTTGTTGAGGGTGCTCTTTTGGGGCTAAAGGAAAACCAAGAGGAAACTGTCCATTTTGGGGGTCCCCCTATTTTGGGACAAAGCCATTCGAGGAATGTCCTAACTTTTGGAATGCCAAGCATCACTGGACCCTCCATTGGAGTCCTTGCATTTGCACCACAGGTTGTGATCCAAAGGCCCCGATTGACACGAGCTTAGACATTCGACCACCCAATCGGCTTAGCGGGAAACTCATGAGCGGATTGGCCAAAAAGGTCTAAACTGGTTTCTTACCGCCCACAATTGGAAACAACCTCCGTTGGGTTTCTTTCAAAGGGGGAAGAGGGTCTGGCTCTTGGAACAGACTTTCCCGAATCCTGGTTTGCTGGTTGATAGCCCCCAGCGAAACCTTCGTTTTGGCGGCTGGCCCATACCTTGACTAGATGTTAATTGGCTAGACGTAGACCCCCTGAAAAGCTTGACTGTCCAAAATGGAAAATGGCGGTGAGTCAAGTCCAGCCATCTGCCAATTCCGCAATAGTTTTAACACCTAAAATAAGCATTGGAACCCCCAGGAAGGGACCTACATCTTGGTGAGCTCGTCTTACTTACATAGAGGGTGGCCACTGGCCACTGTTACTCGCTGGGCACCCCGACTCCTCGACTTTGACCTCGTCGAATTCCGCTTGCTTGGATTGGGCCATCTGGTTCATGATAGAGACCTCCGAGCCAGACCGGTGGTTCTCTTTGTTCTGCTTCCGGCTTGATGATATGGTATCTAGAGATACTGTCCGCTTGCTTGCTTGTTTGCTTGCTTGCTTGCTTGCTTGCTTGCTCGCTTCTTTGATTGGTTGTTTGTTTGCTTGATTGGTTGTGTGTTTGCTTGTTTGTCTGCTCGTCGTTGCTTGCTTGCTTGCTTGCTTGCTTGCTTGCTTGCTTGCCTGCCTGCCTGCCTGCCTGCCTGCTTGCTTGTTTGTTTATGTAATTATGTATTTCTGTATTTGTTTTGGTTTTGTGTATATTTATGTTATTCATCTAAAAGTTTGGTAGTTATGTTCTTCTTTGTTTTATTGAGTGCTTGTGTGTGTGCGCATGATTTGTTTGTGTGTTTGTTTGTGTGTTTGTTTGTTTGTTTGTTTGTTTGTTTGCTTGCTTGCTTGCTTGCTTGCTTGCTTGCTTGCTTGCTTGCTTGCTTGCTTGTTGGTTGGTTGGTTGGTTGGTTGGTTGGTTGGTTTGCTTGTTTGTTTGTTTGTTTGTTTGTGAGTGTTTGATTGTTTTTTTGCTTCTTTCTTTTTGGGTTGTTTTGGTTTCTTTTGTGTTGTTCTTCTTGCTTGTTTCCGTATCTATTTATGTAAGTATGTATGTATGCATGTATGTATGCATGTATGTATGCATGTATGTGTGCCTGGTTTGTTTGTTTGTTTGCTTACTTGCTTCTTTGTTTGTGTGCTCGCTCGCTTGGTTGTTTGTGTTTCTTGTGCTTTGTGTTTGCTTGCTTGGTTGACTGTTTTGTTGCTTTGTTTGTGTGTTTTTGTGTTGGCTTGTGTGTGTGTGCCTTTGCTTGTTTGTTTGTGCGTGTGTTTGCGTGTGCTAGCGTGTTTGTGCGTTCGTGCATGCGTGCGCGCGTGCGCGCGCGCGTGGGTGTGTGTGTGTGTGCGTGTGTGGGTGCGTGCGTGCGTGCGTGCGTGCGTGCGTGCGTGCGTGCGTGCGTGCGTGGGTGGGTGGGTGGGTGGGTGGGTGGGTGGGTGGGTGGGTGGGTGGGTGGGTGGGTGGGTGGGTGGGTGGGTGGGTGGGTGGGTGGGTGTGTTGTTTGTGTGTGTGATTGCTTCTTTGTTTGTGGTTTGTGTTTGTTTGATTGTCTGTTGGATTCTTTGTTTTTGGTGGTGTTTTTCTTTTTTGTGTTTATTGTTTGCTCGGTTCATTGTTTGTTTGTGTTTGTGTTTGTGTTTGTGTTTGTGTTGTGTTTGTGTTTGTGTGTGTATGTTTGTGTTTGTGTGTGTGTGTTTGTTGTTTGTGCTTAATTGTTTGTTTGCTTGCTTGCTTGCTTGCTTGCTTGCTTGCTTGCTTGCTTGCTTGCTTGCTTGCTTGCTTGCTTGCTTGCTTGCTTGCTTGCTTGCTTGCTTGCTTGCTTGCTTGCTTGCTTGCTTGCTTGCTTGCTTGCTTGCTGGCTTGCTTGCTGGCTTGCTTTTGCGTGTGTTTGTTTGTTTGCTTGCTGGTTTGTTGGTTGTTTGTTAGTTTGCTTGCTTGCTCGTTTGTGTGTGTTTGTTGTGTTTGTGTTTGTTTCTTTGTGTGTGGTGGTGTTCGTTCGTGATTGTTCGTTTGTGTGTTCGTTCGGTCGTTCGGTCGTTCGGTCGGTTGGTTGGTTGACTGATTGACTGATTGACTGATTCACT